ATCTAAAAGAGTTTTTCCTACATTTTCTTCTAGAATTCTTATGGTTTCATGCCTTAAATTTGAATATTTTATCTATCTTGAATTATTTTTTGTGAGTGGTGAGAGATATGGATTCTGTTTCATTCTTCTGCATGTGGCTATCCAGTTTTCCGAGCACCATTTATTGAATAGGGATTCTTTTCCCCATTGTATATTGTCTTCAGAGACCATTTGCATTTCTTGTGTGACTTTCCTTGTGTGACTACCCTTTTACACCTTCTCTATTGGATCTTGTTTTTTCTTTACCACAGTGGAGTGCTTTTCATATGTTAGGGACAGCAGTTCTTCTGGATTATATATTTTGCATATATAAAAGCATTATATTTTGAATTTGCTTATTACATCTTTTTCCATAAACATGTTGTTACATTTTTAAAGTCTAATATATCAGCTTATTTATCATTATGTTTTCTGTCTTTCCCAAGAATGTCTCTTACCCAAAGTTATACAAATATTTAAATATCATTTGTCACGATTATTTAGAGACTTCTCTATGAAAACAGTTGAATTGTTTGTATTTATGAACACAGTCAAAATGTGGTAACAATTTTGCATATTGTATTTTGTGTTACCCTTGTTTCTCCCTCCCCTTAAGTTGTGCAGTTTTGTAGAGAATGTTAGAGCAAATCTTTAAATGACCAAGTCCTCCTTTCTTCTGAGTACTTTTGCTTCTTGCATCTGCGGGCCTGCTTTTCTTGGGTAATGTTCTCAAATATTCTTCTCCTAACATTCTTTTCATGAAAATCCCATCTTTCCTTCAGTTATCACCTGCACAAATCCTTCTTCCCTTCTGCCTCAGAGACACTTTTATAAAATATACAAGTTGATCAAATTAATAGTGATTAATAAAATCAGGAGGAGATAGTACATTTATGTAGAGAACTTTCTCTACAAGAAAACCTTATTGTTCTGTTTCTTAAATGTGTATAGGTGGGAGGCTATATACTTAAACCCATTAAAGAACAAAGGTTAGGTGGAGTGGACCTCATATTAGCCTTATAATCTAGGGCAAGCCACTTCTCTAGTAATAACTTTTATTTTAACTGAATAGCTTCAATTGTGCTTACTGCATGCCAGGCATTTTCTGAGTGTTTTACATATATTAACTCTTAGTTCTCACAGCCACTCTAAATTATCCTCATTTTACACAAGGGAAAATGAGACGTAGAAAGCTTAAATGATTTGCACATTCTAGGAAGTTGGGGAAGGTTGTCCAAAATAGTAAGCTCCTGATACATGTTTCTGTCCTCATTCTTCTTTTCCACACTCCATTTCCCCTTCCTCCCCGCTCTTGGCTTTTCACTTTGTACCTTTTTCTACCTTTTCCTACCTCTTCCTTCCCCTCCTTCACCCTTCTTCCCTTTTTTTCTTTTCTTTCTTACTTCCTCTTCTCACCCTTCCATCCTTTCTTCTCTTTCTCTTCCTCCCCCACTTCATTCTCCTCCTCCACCTTTTCATTTTATTGATATCTGTCCTTGGCACTTTGGGGATACCAAGATGAATCAGAGATAGATCTCGCTTCAAAGAATTTACTGTCTAGTAGACACTAAAAGACATATACAGAAATTGCTTAAAACAAAATAGAAAGTGAGAGGTTTAGTGCTATTGAAGTTTTAAGGAACTAATAGTGTCTTTCTTGGAGGAATAAAATAAGACTTAGCGGAGAGAGATTCTCCTTCAGTGGTATCAAGAAGGTCTTATCAAAGACAGCAGTTGTCTTCTACCACATCATGTTTAGGCACATTTTCTAAATTTATCAGCTTCCCTTTCCTTTATTACATGTGATGGATCTTAATCCCATCAACCCTTTTTGGACTCTTGTTTTGTAATGTGTAAGTGACAAATGTAGTAAGAATTGAAATAAAAACTAGAAAGGAGTCTGGGTGGGCCATTTGTGGAGAGTTTGGGATACCTTTTAGTACCAACAAGTCAGTGCCCCTAGATTGAGGATAACAAAAACAGGTATATTGGTGTATCTAAGTCACCGTGGGCAGAAATGTGGTCAGTGGCTACACAAATCCATATGCTCATAGTCAGTTGCTATGGGTAATCAGTCCCCAAAGAGTTCTGAGAATAATCTGCTTGTGTAAACTGTCATTTATATCGTAACATAGCTCTTCTACATCTGTGAAGTGTCATTCCCAATAAGCACCTCTTCAGAGTGCCCAGGTGCCATGGCAACAGGCGCCTCAGGAAAAGTGAGATGGGCTTTTAATTGTAGCGTCAAAAAGTACATTTCAGGAAGTTTCAAAAGCTAGTGTATCATATGAGGAATAGTTATAATTATTTTAGTCATCTCAGCATGAATACCAGGTGTATTTTTGGCATAGGTCTTCTTAGAAATGAGCATCCTGGTTTAATGTGAATGCATATATGTTACATTGGGGAAACTTACATTAAAAGTTAACCGACATAAGGTATCTTTTATCTGTATAATTTTGTTTTCCTGTTAATATCTTATATATGACAGTATAAGTGAATGTACATGATTGCTTTTTCTCATTATTCACAGTGTAAGTTAGAAGGAGACCTAATTCTCTTTAAGATGATCTCTCCTAAGAGGCAGATGTTCTGTTGCCTGTGTGTCTCGGCTTGTATTTTTCATTTTTATTTATTGCCAAAATCAATATGCTATTTGGAAACTGCCAAATTGGTTCTAGAAGTCTGAGGGCCTGAAATTTGGAGAGTAATATAAAGTCAGTCTTATTAGGAAGTTGCTTGAACCAGACAGCACAGACCCAGAATCCTAATTTTACATGGTCGCCTTACACGGTGAAATAGATCGGACACTGGCCATGCAGACGATTCACTTGGTGTCTTGGATCTCAGGATCTCATTTCCTCAGAAAAGACAATGGGGTTATTAGAAAGATAATTTCTTTTATCCTTTCCAATGTTAATATTCTGTGATCCATATGAGTATCAATTTGCATGTATTTGGTGGTGGGTGGAAGCATTGTAAAGAAACTTTAAAAATATTAGTAAGTGAATTTATTATATAAAACAGAAAAAAAATAACGAACAAGAACTAATAGTCTGTTTTGGGCCCTAATAGTGGTAAGGTATGAGGTAGTTAACCTAAATATGTATAAATTGAAATAGAATGTAATAGATGTGGTATGCAGTGAAATTTTGAGGAAGAAAGTTTATAGAAAGATGTGAAAGCCAGTTAAAGTGATTTTATAACCTAGATACTTCCATTTACTTTCCAATTCTACCTTATTCTGAAATAGGTTTTGCTTTTTTGCACATAGTTTATGTTCAGTAAATATTTGTGGAATGGATTGGTTAATGAAAAAATGACTGGGCCTGGCTTATCCAAGCTAAGCAATTTATGTGGTACAGATCTATGTGGTAGAGCTACGTCTAATCATTTAGTCCTAGGAAGATGTAGAACTCAAAGAAGTTGGCCCAACATATTTCCAATTGAGTTAAAAACCTTAAAAAAAATGCGCAAAAAAAAGGGCAAGGCTAGTATTGTTTTTTTTTCATATTCATCTCTGTTAATTTTATCCTGAAGGAACACCCTATGTATTCAGAGTCAGATTTCCTACGACATCAGTCTCCTTTGCTCTACTTTTTTACTCCTCAGCCCATGCAATGAGAGCTAGAACAGTTGTTCTCTGCTGGTAGTTGCACACCTATAGGGGAAGGACAGGCAATGTGATCTTGTTTGTTTGTTGTTTGTTTTTTCTCTGCTTGTTAAGCAGGAAATGGCAAGTGTGTTCTCTCTGGCTTGAAAGGGTCTCCTTGGAAATGTTATGGACCTGAATCCTAAACCCCATGGGATATTAGGAAAATCTTTCAGGAGCCAGATAGCCTTCTGTGTCTTGGATATTTTTTTTTTAAGTATTTCTTGGATTTTATGACCTAGAATTGTCTCCATGTTCTGGTGCTTCTTCATCTTTTTTGACCAGGGAGATAACATACCAGCCTCCCTTTAACGAGAGACCTAGTTAGTTAGGGAACAATTCGGGCCTCTTCAGAAGACATAAGTTTTGGTATTCTTTTGAATCAAACCAACGAACTAGGTAAATGATTACATTTCTGATTCTCCTGGTATGTGAAAGGTAGAATATTTCCCCTCTAGTGAAAGTGAACATTCCCTTCTTTATATCACAAACATTTCTGAGATTCAGGAGGCTAGGGTTTTTTTTCAGGAATCCTAAGAAATCAGGAGATGTTTTATTTCTCCACAGTTAGGCGTTTTAGGTGGGAAGAAATTCTACCGGGTTGTGTTAAATTTATTTTTTCACATAAAAATAATAAAGATGGCTTACATGGATGGAGTGAGATAGGCTTTCTAAAATGAGTTGTGAAAAAAACATGGCAGGGAAGAGAAGTAAAGTCATTGTAATATTATTGCAAACAACCACATTTGGGAATCCCTCCCTATATTGAATAACTGGGACTCTTCTAGTTTTTCAAACCTATCTAAAAGACTCCTGTTTCTAGAAATATGTCAATAGGATGTTTGGAAAATGTCTTTGAATGGGCTCCTGCTCAGCACAGGATACCAATCCTCAGCATCACTTGTTCTGTTCAAATCTGGTGACAACTGGGACCTTGTGTGAGGGCACAATAATGTAAAGGACTGTGTGTGTGTGTGTGTGTGTAGAAGGTAATATGCAAAGATGATGACTGTTTATGTTACAGTTTTTGAATTGGGAGTTTTTTTAACTGATAATCTTCTTAAATTTTTATCTATTTGTTTCAAAACCTAAGTATTGACTGGTGTTGTGACTGAGTTAATGAAATAGTTGGGTGTGTGTTTGCCCCAATCATATTATATTGAAACCAAGAGAACATGAAGTGACATCCTCTATGCTTTAAAGACAGTCTCTGTGTTTCTTTTTTTGTTTTGTGTGTATTAGTTTTCTCTCTGTCCTTATAATGACAGTTTGAAACTTTCACAAATACATAGACCCAACTAGTTGACTGACTTGGAACTGTTTCTTTCAGGTTTTTGCCTGAATTCATCAGTGGAGACTTTGATTCTATTAGGCCTGAAGTCAAAGAGTACTACACTATTAAGGTAAACCATATATTAAGATATTTTTATCTTAATATAAATTATATTTATAATTATTTTGTATATAATTTATAATTATTTTATAATTATAATTTATAATTATAATTATAATTTATAATTATTTTGTATATATAATATCAATATATTAAGATCTCTTTCATATGATTGCTTTTCCTGTGTTGGTTCTGATTTTCTTCTTGTATAGGTAGGGATTGAGAAACTCATCACTTGATTACTTTTTAAAGTTTAATTATAGCAATTGGAATACACATTCAAAATGGTAATTTACAAAATTACAAATGGGAACACAATCTTGCAGAAATTTTACCACCAGATAAGCATTAATCAGTCTTCTAAGCATATATATTTTAAATGAGGTTATTGTTTATATATGCCCATTTAATAATATACTATTATCGCCCATATCCTCATTAGTTATTATGTATTTTTAACAGATCATTTTAATTTTATTTAATGAATATACCTTATTTCACTTAATCAGTTCCCAAATGATGTACACTTAATTTGTTCTTTTCTTTCTCTATTAAAAACATCTTTGTAAATGAATTTTTATAAAAATGCATAATTGTGTGTTCCTAGAATTTTAGAACCAAAGTTTTTTTTTCTTTAACAGTTAGTTTTCTTAAAATTATTATTACTCTGTTCTGAATAAACCTATTTATTACAACTTGAGATAAATATTTAATAATAATCTACATCTTTTTAAGGTGTTCCTTTTGTCTTTATTGTTGTGCAAGTTGTCCAGAGATCTTTGTCACTTAAGAACATATAAATCATCTAATTGGGAATGATATAAGTCACATAGGAGTGTATTAAAGTAATTAATAATTCAAAGTTTCACTGGTTTTGGAAGACAATGCAGAGTTTTGACAATAAAATTATTATGGCATCAGTAATTCTTCTAGCCACAACACATCAACTGGCATTAACAAATTACACATACTACATTATTAACTATGAAATGTCCAATTCCCGTAAGTACTGTTTGACAGTTAATATCTTTGACATTTCACATTGACACTTCTTGATTTATTTTTGTTGTTATTTTATTATTCTTTCAAATGCCTGGTTCGTCTTGTGATCATCTTTCAAAAAATTTTTAGAGCAATTTTTGTGAAACCATGGATAAGTCAGAAATTTGTGTTATTTTCAAATATGAGTTCCATCATTGAACCAGTTCCGCCATATTCACCAGACCTTGCACCGACTAAGTAGGACTCCTTCCAAGCTTTGGACCACTTCATGCAAGGAAGAAATATTCAATTCTCAACAATCTGTGGAAAACGCCTTTCATGATTTCGTCACCACTTACTCTCCAGGCTTCCTCACTGGTGGCATAAGCAAGCTAACATTTGGATGGCAAAAGTATATCGATAGTTTAGACCCATACTTTGATTAATCCTACTCCTTCTCGTTTGAGATATAATAAACTAAACTTTTTATTCAAAGTTAGACATTTCATATTTAATGACCTAATATATGTATGTATGTATGTATGTATATTTTTAAGAAACAGATATTGAAATCAAAAAACTTTAAATTCTTTTCGAGGCTTGGGGACAGATGAGATCAATGCAAAAAGAAGAGAGGAAGCCTTTCTTAGGAAGGAGTTGTTGGAAGGAAGGAAAAAAGAAGGAAAAGTAAAGAAGAAAGAGGAAAGAAAGGAAAACTTGATTCTAGGTGGTAAAGCAGAGAGGTACAGAGGTTTTAACAAAGTATAGGCTGCTGTGATACGGAATTCTGGGGCTGGCAGTGGATGCAAGTCTCTGCGCATTCCATCTGCCCACCAGCTGATCAGACTTTCCCTCAGCAAATGAAGACTATTCCCAAGTCAGTGTTTGATATTCATGCCCAATTACTTTAACATTGGCATGTTCCTATTCATTCCCCACAGTCTCACTTCTCATTAACTCCATACCTCCACCTCATCCGGATGGAAAGCCTCAGCCTTGCTTACAGTGCAGAGTTTCGCAAGTGCATAGATATTAATCATGTTTTCCGGAGCAGAAGAAACAGCGGGAGAGGCAGGGACAAGCACACTCAAAAAACAAGTTGAAGATCTAGCCAGGTGTGACCCATCTCCCCCGTCTTCACTGCTGCTGGCTTGCCAAAACTGGAAGTGCCGGTCTGATCATTCCTGCCCAGGAGGAGGAATAGGGGAAACCAGCTTTTTTTTTTATTTCTCAATGCCATAAAATGGGGGTCAAGGATAAAGGGAAAATTTGAGTTAATACCCCTTGATGACCTTCTCTTATATTTCCTGCTTCCCTTTTTTTTTTTAACCTTAAAAACCAAATTATATTTGTTAAGGTTTAGTTTTTTAACCGAGATTTAGCTGAACCTTCCAATTCCTGAATTGCATAGTTCTAAGTTGGTATAGTACGGTCCAGTTTTTTTTCATGTGTCAGTGAATATTGAACTCATTGCTTTTGAACTTTTAGGGTACATTCTAGAGGACACAGGTGATGTCTTTTAAATAGTTAATATGCCCTGTAGAGCACATGGTGAGTGTTTGGCTGTAGTTTTAATAATGATGATGATTACAACAAGTTAATGCAACATTACACACAATTCATATGAGCCATTATCTCCAACTTAAATAGTCTTTAAGCTGCTCTTTCACAAATGAAAGGAGGTAATCTCCACTTTCAAATGTACCCCCACCGCACCTGGTCTGAGTTTTCAATGAGGCTGAAACCGGAGCTTTAGTGAAAAAAGTAAAATAAAGGAGAAATTTAAAATGCTAAACATTTGTTAAAATCATAAAGTGGACTGTCTAGGCAGCATTTAGCATACCGAGTGTTCAACTTGGCAAATGGTGTGCAGTCCTTAATTTACTCTGTAAAGATCTTCCTTTCTAGATGGCTGTAACATCTTTGTGCTTCCCCTTTTGCCTGTTTGTCTTAGTTCTTCCCTGCCTGGTTCACTACTATTAATTCAGAATGAAGAAGGTCTCATTGATTTTCCCCTTGATATTTTATTTTTTTTTCCCCATTTTTCTGGGTCAGTCAATACTTTTCTCATCCAAGGCTAGAATAAGCTATTTCAATCTTCTCAATTAGTCCATCTATAATGCCCACCTGCATTTCGGTTTTCTGAGCACTTTGTAAAAGAAACTACATTATCTCATGTAACTCCTGATACTCTTTCATGCTGTATAGTCTTCGCTGGATATAGGACAGGGAATTTTAAAGCATGCTTCCTTAATATTCATGAGGTTAAGGAACTAGTTGTAGTATTTAGCTGATGCCTTAAAAAGTTACAGAATAGCAAGGTTTTTCTGTAAATGTAGGTGTATAGGATAGGAGGTTAAAAATATGTTATAATAATAAAAGTATAAAATACAGTCATCCCTGCATATCTGTAGGCTCCACGTTCAGGGATTCAGCCAGCCGTGGCTGTGGACCCCGTGGCTATGGAGGGCTGACTAAGGGCATTGAGTATCCGTGGACTTTGGTATATTCTGGGTCCTGGAACCAATGCCCTGTGGATATGAATGGCTGACTGCAATTTAAAATGTAATAAAAAAAAATCAAACAATATTCTTCAGCCCAATTTTCTGAGGGGGAAACTGAGGCCCAGACAGCTTCAGTGACTTGAACAAAATGGTAGAGCTAGTCAGAGACAGCTGGAGGATCCATGTCCATGTTTTCTATGAAAAGAATATTGTTAAAACTGGGACTCAGTTACTGCCACTGTGTCTCAGCAGGTAACATCTTTGGCCTATTGGGTTAAGTAATTAGTTCCTTGTGCTGTATAATTTAGCATCCCAGGGAATGAATATCAGCATCACACCAATGTGATAATGGTCTATGTGATACCTAAACACTCTACCTCACATCTCCAACATATCTCCCCAACCCTTTGATTCTGGGGCACCAAGGATAAATAAAGGTGCAGTAGTTAGACTAGCCCAAGAATGACTAAAACCAAAGAAACTGATAAATTTTTTAATTACCTAAAAGCTATTTATAGGATATAGAATTGAGCCAAGGTGGAACACAGAAGATTCAAGGTGATTTGGTAGTAGGAAATTAGCAAGGGCATAGGCAAGCTTTAAATATGTCTTCCTTTGTACTACTGGTGAGTATTTTGGCTTTCCAGAAAGTGTTGTGAGCAACACAAGGCAATGTTCTAGACAGTATGGTGAGAATGACCCTAGTCTTAAATTAGGAATAGGACTCGAGATCCAAGTTCTGATTTTATCTTCTCTGTTAATCCTTCCGAGTTCTAGAAGAACATAGTGTAGTATCAAAACAGTGGTCAAGAATACCAGAACATGGTGCCCAAAGACCCTTTGTAACTGTAGTTACAGAGGCAAGATTTGATTGAGGAGGTGCAATGAACCCCTGTATAAATGGTGAGTGAGACTAGCAGAAAGGGTAAGTTAAGGCTGAACTACCAATTTTCTATTACAGACAGAGGGAGATAATTCTAGGCCACCAGGCAGTTCCAGCACTATGAACTGGAACAGTGGAGGTAAAGATCCAGGTGGATTCTTATCTCTTTGTCTTTCATCATATCTTTCTCAGATTTGGGAAAGATAAGATTTTTTAAAGCAAATCGCATGAATTATTGGAGAATATCTTTTATTAAACCAGTATTTCTTCATGATATATTCCCATCGTAATTGAACACTAACATGGCCATATCCAAATTTTTGAAAACTGCTCTTAACAGCAAGGGTAGTATATTTAAACTTTTTAAACCAATGCTCCCTTTTATAAATATAAAATGCTATAAATGTTCCATACAGTGGCAGAAAGTTGCTCATCATTTTACATCTCGTCGTTATCTGTATAAATATTTCGTTTATATTTTAGGAAACTGAGGATTTGGGTTTAAATATGAATATCTCAGTCAAAACAATTGGAAATTGGCATCTGGTTGACATTTGAATAGAATGTCTGATTTTTCATAAATGGACTACTGAAAATGCTTGTATTTTAATTCCAATTTAAAGATGAGGACACTGAATCTCA